ATACAAGTCGACAATATAGGAAAATACTTCATAAGCTGAGGCTGCCTGAGAAACAGCTCCCAAAATAAGGGGATCGGGCGGTATCCATCCATTTGACAATTGCACACATAAATTCCAAACACTTTCAACGGCCTGCAAGCAAATGTTTTGCTTAAATAATGCATCTCTGAATCCAATTAAGACAAAATTTCACAAATAGAATATTTCACTGCAAGAAAAGCAAAACAGAACATGTACTTTCGCTTAAGTACAACAACCGTAACTGGGCAGGAAGAAAAGCAAAAAATGCGCAAAAGAACAGAAAAAATCAGGTCTAATGAGAACAAAATCCAATTCAGCTGTAGAGGTGGAAAAGTAGTTAAGGTATTGTAAAATTTAGTCAGACAGACGTAATACTGTGCCTATTTTAACAGTAATCAACGCCATAAAGTCTGTTTTCACCAAAAATCATAAAAGTGATTAAATGCGGACAGCTCAAAATGAATAGCAACAATAAGTAGGGCGGGCTGTAAAGACAGCTGGAAATACCACGGCAAAATGTAGCAGTATCATAGTGTAAGGAACACGTTTAAGAAAAAAAAAAAGAAAAATATATTGCAATTATACGAAAAAAAAGTAACAAAAAACTGACTTTATCCAAACGCGATAGCTCCAAGATTCTTTTTAAAGTGCTCAGTGCATCCATGAATCCTGCATGACGAAGCTGAGATGGCTCGGCCTGTCTGCAAGCTTCTTGAAATGTGAGTGGTATGTAATTCATTTCGTCCCATTTCCCGTCCCGGACAATTTCCTCGAGTGGAACTGGTTCAGCTAGTGTTTCCAAATTTCGCCAAACTTCCCGTGCTTCTTCAACTTCTTCAGCCATCACAGAGTGCAAGCGTGACAACTCAGATTTTACCGTGAGATTCTCCAGCTCGATAGTGTCCAAAACATGCGAAATGTCAGAGCTGCAATAAGATACAATTACTGAAAAAAGCGCTTGTCTAATTTGCGGAAAACGAAACGAAATACACATCAAAAGACCCAATCCCAAATGGAGCTTTGCTGCCCAATACTGTAATACAGAAAAACGCTTTCAGCTGCAAGTATTTTGCTTTACAAAGCGTCTAAGTGCCTCCGAGCTAAATCTACCGTTTCTTGGCCTTAAATCTTATTGTCTTTTACTCCATTCCAAGCATTATTTTCTTATACAACTAATTTTGGTGCTCATTATATGCAAATACATCAATCTGCGGTATGTAATAACTTTTTAA